CCTTCACCGTTAAGAATTTTTTCCTTACATTCCTGTGGAACTTTCGGTGTTTCAGTTTGTGGCCATTACCTCTTACACTGAAAAGAGTTGCCCCATCCTCCTCACTCCCTTCCTTAAGGTGCTTACATGCACTGACCAGAGGCACATAGGCTTTCTATCTTGAAATCCATTGCTTGGAATTGCATCTCCATGGCTTACTCTTGTGGTTAGTTTGCAGCATTGAAATTGGTGCTTTGGAACAGGAACTTGTTCACTTCATCAGGTGAGTGAATGAAGGAAACTAACACAGTAAGAAAAAGCTAAAGTGCTAACATGAGTCACATACATATGATAGATTTTATGAATACTGATAACTTAAAAATGGTTTCTGTACTTGCAGAAATGCAAATACTAGAGCAAGATTCTGTAGAATTAAATATTAATGTTGAAATAAAGTAAGCAGTTATAAGCTATATAACTTCAGATTAAGAATTTGATTTTTTACACTACTTTTTTTGCCACCAAGTAAGGAAATGGGAAAATGCAGAAATCCTTTAGAGAAAAAAAAATGTAATGGCTTGTTAACAATGTTATAATTTGGAAATTTTGATATTTTACATTTCCTAAAACTAAGGTTTTAACAAAACAAGTTGAGAGAAGCTTAGTCCTGATGCTTGAATATTCAATGAACGGATAACATCTTTTTAACCTGAAAATAGCACAAAAATTTATACGGAGCAGCAAATAAAGTCTATCCAGAAGAACCTTTGTCCTTACAGCTGGTTCCACTCAACATTTGTTTTTTCCTGAAGCTGGAGATCCTCAAGATCATTTTCAGAGGTCTCAAGCAGCTGGTGCTGCTCCTGTGAGGTCCATCTCAGTCTCCTCTGGTTTCAAGATTAATGAGTCAAACTCACTTTTGTGAGTCAGACTTGGTTTCAAATTGACCATTATATTACTGTAGATCCTACAAGGATTGAATGCAGTATGGAAAGTAGCAGAATTCAGTGTATTCTGCAGCTTGAAAACTAAATAGGGACTTTTTCCACTGAAGCAGTCAAGTAAAGTGATGCATGATAATTACTGGTCACCACGCTTCTGTAGAACACTAAAATCTCAGAGATGCACCTGGTAACATACTTTAATAAAAAGAAAGAATTCAGTACTAAGACCTTTAAATAGTTTTTAAAATTGTAAGCTAAGGTGCTGCTGAAAAACATGCTAAAATATTTTAATCATGCTTATCTACTTATTCATTGTTGCTGTAGCAGGGAAATCATACTCTGTAACCAGTAGTAGCCCGGTGTATACAAGGAATTCGCAAAATGGGACTATATGCATAAGCATTGTTATACACAATTAGTTTAGCTTTTCTCCATCTGAAGTATTTAATTGTCATGGTGTTGTGATACCAGACTGCATGCAGAGGGATGGCTGGGCCTTGTGTTGCCTGTTGTACTTGACAAAGTGCAGTATGCCGTCTCCAGAGGTCTTTAACCAACAGTCTTACATTTGGTAATAGAAAATGTGCTAAATCTTCTACATTGCAATAGTAGCTCTACAAACAGAAGCAAGCAGTTTGGTTAAAAACGAGTATTTAACAAGATATAGTTAAGCCATTGAAAGGACTAGAGTGTTTTAGAATTTTATTTTCAAAACCATGTCCCCTTCCACATGCTATTTTTGACATCAATTCAAGTGATAATTATTCTGAGTAGTCAAAAATGCAAGCTGTGATTTTTTTTAATGTTCTGATTCAAACTGCCTTTTTTTTTTATTTTTATTTATTTATTTATTTATTTTAGATTTTGAGTGTTTGAAAAGGGTGAAAGGTTGAAAAGTGTGTGTGTAACAGGAAGAAATTCACGTGTCTCGGCACCTCTGAATACATTCCAAAGGCCAATGTTTCCTTCCAGCAGAATAGATGAATATACAAGCTGCAAGTTTTGTTTGTTTAAGGATTCACATTTTAGGTCCTGGTACAGACCAGCTACAATCCTTAGGCAAAAAGCTTAAAATAAAGGGGTGTGTGTGTGTGTGTGTTTTAAAGGAAACGTTTTAATTGTATTCCCTGCAAACTTAAACCACAGGTGAAAACTTCTCAAAACTAAAAGAAAAAAAAAGAAAATAAGTTCTAACATGAATGCACCAGTTTATCTTCTATTGCATGTTTCATTTTGGTCACAAATCTCAATATTACACTCTCTTAGAGAGCAGATACCTCTGCACATCATAATAAATAACAACCCCTTCTTACCAGTCCCCTGCATGACTCTCTTCTGTTTTTTCTTCCCTGCCAAGTCCCACTCTTGACATGCTCCAGCCACGAAGTAGAGACAAAATAGCCAAATCTTCATGTAATAATTCATTTATTAATCTAAAATCAGCTTTCAGCTATATGCAGTTGTACAAAAGGTTTTATTTAAACAGAGCCCACTTTAGTATCCATCATACTTGATACATACTTGAGGCGTTTCCTGTCTAACAGCACTAGAGTATCAATTCCAGCAGAAAAATCTCTAACTGCAAACATTTGAGAACATGAAGTTTTTAAAAAGAGTCAATTTTACAAAAGACCTTGTTTTAGAAAACCTCTCAGTGTTTCATAGAGAAATCTGATTGATTTTGTCAATTAACATAAGAAATCTGGTTAACTCAGAAGTGCAAACATGCCAAATTTTGTGAAATGGTTCCCCCCATTTACTTATAGCCATGGAATTCAACCCAAGACTTTTGGGTCCTGTGATACATTTACTCTAACAAAACAAATTCTGGTGCTCAGCAGGGTATTCTTTGCACCTGGAAGACAAAATGGGGAAAATGCCAGTATTCCTTTGAACTGGTGGAAGGCATTTGTTACATTTCTAAGCATTTCTTCTTCCTGGTTTTAAGCTCCAGACTACTTTTACTAGAATATCTGACTCTGAGAAGGACAACCAAGGAGCTATTCTCTCTACAAAGGAAAAAAAAATGAGGCTTTCACAGAAAATTAAAACAATATCATATTCCTCACTCTATAGCTTTAAAAATACTACGTCCTTTCAGAACCCTCAAATGATGCTACGGTCATCTCTGTTTAATCTAGAGATAACAATCTGATGAAAGATTACAGTTTAACAGCATACTGTTAGTTAAGCATCAGATTAGGAACCTAAGAATGGAACAGAAGGTAGGAAGATACCAATAAAACATAGAAGTGTTTACACAGAAATTCTGCTTCTTCCATGCTTTATTGATCAAATGTATCTACATTCATAAAACACTGAGAAGCTGCTGTAAAATACAAAGAATGGCGATGCGATACTCAGAGAAACAACTCCATTTTAGGTTCAAGGAAGATTTTTTTTTCTTGTTTTCCAATGTATGATTCATACATATAGGAGCACATTTTTCCCTTTCTGATTCAAATTTTGAGCAATGAACCACTTCATTAAAGGCATAAACAAGAAGAAAAAGATGAAAAAATATTTAAGCCCATAAACTGCAAGATCAACAAGTCTGATTTTACTACAATACTGTATTCTTACCTGGATGGCACATAATTACAATGAAACAGTATTTTTTCAAGTATTAAGCTGTATCATTTCTTAATTCTGTCCGGCAGTGATGTCTCAATGAGTTTTGGGTATGATTTGGTTTTCTAAGCAAGCATTTTCAGCTCCTTGGGACAGCAGGCGAGACGTTATCTGACTCAAGACTAGGGAGGCAGCGATATCTTCACTGGCAGCCGTGCAGCGGAACTGAGCACAGTTCAGGGCCAGCTCAAGCTTCCCACCCCGGTGCTGCGAGCGGGCTCTGGAGGCAGCTCTGTGTGCACAACCGTGGCCCAGCCGCCCGCAGCTCCTTACGCCGGGCGGGCTCGGAGCGCTGCCATCCGCGCTCCCCACTGAGGCGACCTCTGGCCGGGGCCGCCATCTGCCTCAACGAGCGGTTCCACGGGTTTAACTGGGTTGTGTGGGAGCGCCAGGATCCCCTCTTCCACATCTCCCCAACACCACCCGTCACCTCCAAATTTTCTCATGGCCCAAGGCGCTCGCTTGGCCTGGCGAGGCCGCCAGCAGCCGCACCAGCCTGTGGCTCATGGCGGCGACGTGTGGGACGGCAGTGCCCACTGTGGGGGACCGTTAGGTCTGCGCCACCTCCTTCCCTCACAGCCGCCAGGCTCCACACTGAGGAGAAGCAGACACAAATCTGTTGATGGCTGCTACCTGGGAACCGTATTGGGTTCTCTAAGTCAGTCCCTCAGGTGGAAACACGAGCTGGGAGATGCCCTGGGTCTCCCATTTTAGCTACTCTGGGTCTAGCAGAGGTTTTGCTTAACCCAGTGCAGCTGTTCTTACGTGCTCAAGACCAACAAGCAGCCAGGCGACTAGCTAAAATGTCGCATTACCCCGAAGTACGCACGTACCGTTTTTTTAAAAATGGTAGCGCTATTGAGGCAGCTAATACAGTCTAGATGTATTTGGACTGGTTTGGGAGTTTTGTTGGTTGGTTGGTTTTTCTTTTTGTGGACTTTAAACCCTGTAAGAGCAGGACAGCTGTCAAAGACCTCCTACCTGGCTGGGATTTCCCCATCCTCTATGCTGACAAGAAAGGGGAAGATTTTTGTCAAATTTGCTAGACCAACACCCTTCAATCTTGTGTGTTACTATTTTCTCCATGGAAAATGCCTAGCGCTCAGTTAAGTTGGCAGAACACCTAGAAGCTAAACCTGTTTCAATAGTATTATCCAAAGGGCAGGTCACTCGAGCAGAATAGGGCTGTAACTACTGCTATAATTTTAAATGAGATTAAGAAGATAATTGTACACATCTATAAGACAACTATTAAAAAAAAAATCCTATAGATAAAATCCATCTGAGCACTAGGTAATTAATTGTGTAATTAATTTTATTGTTTTGACCTGTTTCAATTCTTTAGAAGATTTTCCCAGTGTAGAGGAATAAAAAGCAGTGGTGTGTTACAATACTGTAATTAGAATTACAAATAGGGGCATATGCTGACAGAGGAGAAAGTTGAAGTTATGCAATAAAATGTCGGAGTTTGACATTCAGCTCTCTTTCTTTAGTCAGTAAGTCCTGACTGTGTTTTTTGTAAGCATCGAACTGCAGCCAGAGTTTGCTGTATGCCCGTTTGCTGCTTTCGAGCTGCCGTTGGAGCTCTTGGACCCTCACATCACTGTCTCCTGCCGAGGCCTCTTCTGCACGGCGCTTTTCTGCTAGTCGCCTGGCTCCTTCTGCAGCCTCCAGCTTCTCCCCCAGCTGCTGAATTTCCTGCTGTTTCTCTTGCAGAGCTTTGCCCCTTTCCAGGGCCACGTTCAGGAGCTCCTCCTTCTCCCGATATGCCCTCTCCAGCTTCGCCTCCAGCTCACTGCCCTGAGCCTTCTGCTGACTTTCTTCCTGCTCTACCTGTGCGAGCACTTGCTGGTGCTTCTCCTGTAAGTGCTGCAGACGTTTTTTTAATGAATCGGCTTCCCTGGCATAAGCGCTTGCCTGCTGGGTCTGAGCTTCTAGCATCTCCTTTTCCCGCTCCTGGGCTCTGTGAGTCTCGTAAGCGCATTTCTCCTGCAAGGAATCCAGCTGCCGAGAGAGCTCCCTTACCTGCTCAGTGAGCTGGAGCACTTCGGCTTCCTTCTCTCTCACAGTCTCGCTGAACAGAGTTTCATTCTCTTGCCTCAGGTGCTTGTTCTCCTCCAACAGTTGTCTATTATGTTTCTTATGTTCGTCCTTGAAGCGGATCATTTTCTCGTGGTTGTCAGCAAGGTGCATGAAACGCTCCTCCAGACACTGGATCCGCTGGGTCTGGGCTTTCAGCTTCGCAGCATCCTCCGTCCTCAGCTCCTCCAGCTTCTTGTTGAGCTGCTCCAGGCCCCTGCAGCGTTTGTGTGCGTCGTCTGCCCTTCTCTTCAGCATGCAGATAAGGTGGTACTGTTCCTCTATGCGGGAACGAAGCACGGCCTTCTCACACTTCTCCGCTTCAGGGATCCCACAGAATTTCCACAGGTCCTTGTTCAGGTCTTCCATATCTCTCTCCATCTCTGGATCACTTGCGGGATTGGCCCTCCCAGGGTCTCTCTTACATTCAGCCATGGAGCTACTGTCTCTCACAAAGATGAAAAGAAGTTTCTGCTGACCTTCAGCGTCTCATCTCAGCTGCCCCCAGTAGTGCTTCTCAACTGTGTCCCACCACACTCAGCAACCGGGCGGAGTGTCCTGGGAACGTGGTTCTATCACCCATGGAGACTTTGTTCTGAAGCCAACTGCCAACAGCGTCAGATGGATCTTCCAACCTATTTACAAGTTTTTAACAATATGTGTTGCATTTCTCATCTAAAACAACTGAATAGCCTTGCTGTTTCCTTAGAGATTTATGATTTAAAAGAGATCTATGCAGTGCTAATAATTATTGAATCCAGTGTGGTAAAAACACTTGATGCCTGAAGAAATACTTCATAATCTAAGTTTTGGCAGGGATTTGCTGGATTATCTTAGGCACATAATTTTAAAAGTCTGTTTTCTCATCTGTGAAATAGGGTATTTATTTATGTTATGGTAGCACCACAGTAATGCCTAATAATGCTGTATGGTA